GAAAGTATAACCTCTTTAGATTTGTATTCAATATGTCTATAGATACAACTTAAAACCCTATTTGCCCTACCACGAGTAACAGCACACTGCTTGGATGGCTTTAGAGACTGATTGACTATTACACCAAGATCCCTTTCCTTCATAACACTGTTAAAGTTATTACCATCCAAATTATACGTATAATTTAAATTATGATAACCCACATGCATTATCTTGCATTTATTATAATTAAAACCCATCTGCCATTTATTTACCCAACTCACTACATGATCTAAATCCTTTTGTAAATCAGCAGAATCATCTTCACAGCTAGCAACACCCAAGACCTTAATCTCATCTGCAAATTTAAGTAATTTATTGACTATCTCTTCATCTATGTCATTGATGTAACTTGATGTCATTAAACTTCAATTTTATTTTATCTAGAGCTAATTGATTAATCATAATTTCAATTACCTTTGATTAATGTCATAATAATAATCAACTGATCGAAGTTAGTGTTTATGCTTATTTTTTCAGTTATTCCAACTATCCAAGAAGTAGAAATATTGCTGTTATAATTTATAATTATTGTTTTTGATCAATTCAAAGTTTCTTGGCTTAATATATTTGTGTAATGACTCACGAAAGTAATCAACTAATTAGAATTAGTGTTTGTATTCAAAGTTTTCTGATTATTTTAACTTTCCAAGTCTTGTGAAAATAATCAATTAGTGTAATTCCATTAATTGTCCAGCTCTAGTGAAAGCTATGTAACTCTCAAGTATGTGTTTTACACCTTTACTTGTGTATAGTAGCAAACAGTATTGAAAATTATAAGTCAGAAAACCTGCTTGAAAGTACAGGGTGGTCCAATATTATCTTTCCTATAAATATAATTTAACATTTGACTAACTAATAAAATATAACCATACAGTTTTCAACATCTTGTAGCCCAACTTGAACAGTTTTTATTGACATGTAGACTTCTACATGTGCACCATTAGTGGTTGTGAGCACATCTAACAGATATTTGATTTCAGTCTACAGTGGAGATGGCATTCGTTACCCTGGTCTTTAGCTCTGTGATATTTACTTTAGGTGTGAGATACATGGTATCCCTAACATACCCCCATACTTCTTTTCTGTACTGGTGTCTGTAACTACAGTACAGTACAGTTGCCGTTTTATAAGGTAACACTACTCACTGGAGTGAAAAAAAAACATATCAATAAAAACTTTGAGTTGGGCTACAAGATGTTGAAAAGTACATGGTTTTATTTCCTTAGTTACTTAATTATTAAATTTTAAAATAGGAAAGATAAGTTTGGACTACCCTGTGTAAAGAACTTCTTCAGAGGTTTAAGGATAGAAATAGACTTGTGGCTGTTTCGTGGGTAATTCCTCTTTCTAAATATGGGAATAAGTTAGTTGTATCCAAAGCTTAAATAAAATATTAATAAAACATGCTTAGATCCTTTTCCAATGACATGTGAGATAGTATTCTGATAGTCCCTCATAAGCAAGCTAAGCAGCATGATGTTTGGAGAAGCTTGAACAAAATCAATTGAAGAACATTTAAACTGAACTTGCATAGTGATGAAAGAGCTTGGGAAATTGTGAATAAACAAATCAATTAGATAATAGGGTGCATCAAAAATATAAATTTCTTATATCATTATCGGCAGGGTATGCAATTGGTGCCCTTTAATAGTAGTAATTCTCAGGCTTCTAAAATTATATCTTGTCATGCTGCGAGGGGGGAGTATTTTCCTTGAAATATCCATAATCAAAGTGTATGAGAAAACAAAGTACCATAACTTTGAATATGCAATGTTTAGCTAATTTAAGAGTTTTATATCCTAAATTACCCAGAACTCATCATGAGAAGAAAGTTGCATGTTAAGTTCCACCTAACCACCCTTCCACTGGACAACAGAATTACTGGATTATGTATTGTTTCTTAGTATTAAATTTTTCATGATTTTGCAAGATTAAAGTTTTGCTTTAATGAATCTCTTTCTTCTGCGATAGCCACAAACAGCTACTTAAGCTTCAGTTACTATTTTAACATGCCTTTCAACTGCTTGTGTGTGACATGGTATGCTGAACTTGAAAACTGGCACGTCATCTTGATTAATGGAAGACACCAACTGTTCATTACTTATATTTTATGTAACTGGTGGCTATACACTCAGTTCACATTATTAGATCAGCATAATGTTGAGCTTCCATATTAATATTTGGAACCACAAACTGTCTCATTATGCTAGAATTGGAGGTACATCGAGTAGCTAATATTCTATGAAGAGCAAGTTGTCTGATAGCCTTAGAATCATCTCCAAGCATTTCAAGCGGTGAATTTTGCGGGTGTGCAAAATATACATTTCTCCGGATTACTCTATCTGCCACATATAGCTCTGATTCGGAAAGAAAACATGATTTTCTTACAAGTAGAAAATGGTGCGGTGAGCCATGGCTGCATAAGGGATTTTTCTTGATATTAAACCAAACTGTTGCATACACCTCAATTACATATCTCACAAAAAACTAAGCTTCTTGGATGAGTTAGCAGCTGTGACGTAAAGACACAAAATCCTGTTTGGTGCTGTTAACCAGCGAGAATGGTTCATTGTACCAGGGTCACATAAAGCAAGTTCTCTTGAACTATGACCTGACACTACTGCATTGCACATATCATACCAATATTCTTGGTCTGTACTAAGATCCTCAGGATGGTCAGTTTTTGGTAATGGCTCTGTAATTTTGACTGAAACAAAGTTTACTGAAGGTAATGATTCACGAATCTTCAGTTTCTTTTCAAGAGGACCAGAAAAAGCAGACGATCCTAGAGTTACTCCGTCAACATGCGTAATTAGATGATGCAGGGGTAGCTCATTGGCATGTAACAAATAAATTAACCAATGAACAGTTCTTCCTAAGTGCAATTCAAAAAGCCACATAACTCCAGCTTCTTTCCAATATTGACGCATGTGTCATCACAGCCTACAGCACCAATATGATCAAATAAAATTTTGTCTTCAAACCACTAAATGATAACATTTTTTTGATGCCTTCTGATGTTCCAGAAGTAGAAATGTAACCCATGAAACTTGATTCAGATTCACTGACCAAAGTTATGTACTTTTTCTCAAGGTTAGATGTTCAGGATAGTCATGAAGATCAAATGGTCCCTTATTTTCTGTATGTTGTAAATAATTTTCACCCACATAATATTCAGAAAGTAAATGAAGCTTTAATACTTTTATGCAATCAAAATATATGATAAGAGACGAATCATGAATATCTACCAAAAATATACTTTTTTTAATCAATGTTTGCTTCTTGCGAATCAATAATTTAACTATTGATTGTGACGAATTCTTTAAAAAATAACTATATTTGTATAATGAGTCATAGTAACATGATGGTCTGTTCTTTATTTTTAGTTATTAAGTGCTATGTTGTTGTTATTTTTCTCCTGATTCTCAAGTATTTGAAACATTACAGCTATCATTTGAATTTGTAGTCTTGTAGGGTTGATAATGCATAGTTTATATATTTTTCCCATTCCACATTCTTTCAATTATAGTCATTCGACATTTATTCTGTAATTGTGTTTGATAATCTTGTATTTTATGGCTAGGTATTTTTAGGGCAATACATGCATTTTATGTCATATTAATTTGAAGACCTCAGTAAAAAAAACCAATTCAAATAGACAAAAAACACATATACTTTTAATAGTTATGGAATATCCAGAGAGAAAAAAAAATAATATAGAAAAAATAGCCAAAGCTACTCACACCTTTGATAATTTAGATATAAAACTACATTTACTTGTGTGTGTGTGTACATGCATATGCATGTATTGTACAAGACAAGCATTTATAGTGTTTTGTTTTTTTCTTTTTTTTCCAGGTTGCTGGAAACCATGTTGCCTTATATGAGGCTCTGTACCAGCAGGTAAGTTACAAACAGTACTCTGTATGGCTGTGCATATAAAAAGTGGCTTTCCTTTCTAATCAACCTGTAAGAGTTGTTTAACTTTTGGGGCTTCTCTGTAACTGAATGTGAGCATCCTTGTATCTTACATTTAAGGTATCTTTCGATGAAATGCTGCATTAAAATTTAATTAGTTATTTGAAATTTTATGGAGCTAGAGGAAAAGTGAAATAGTAATAATAAATTTGGCTTGACATTAGGAAGGAAAGGGTGTTGATAAGAAGTATCTTGTTTGGTAAAATGTGAATTGTTAAAAAGTTTCTTATGCTCGTTCTTTATGTCAAGAAATTTATGGGTTGGAAATCGTAACAAAATTTATGGTTCAGTTAGTAACAATACAAAACACATTTATTATAGTAAACATCTTGAAATTATTTTGATTTTATCATCAGCATTTTGGGGGTAAACAAAAGAAAACCTACATCATGAGGTTTCTTGTAGTAAAACTTCATCTGAATTTACCGCTGTTAAGATAGTGGAGTTCTTAATGATATACTTTATGCTTTTGCTTTGTTGGTGTACAGGAAATGATGAAGGATTGCTGGGTTTTTACCAGCTTCTGTAGATGATAATTTGGATAACAAGACTGTGAAATTGTATAATTATGAGGTATAACATTTAATGATTTTTTTATGAGAACTAAAAAAACAAGAGATAAGATATTAGAGAACATTACACAACATAGTAGATTTTCCACATGGTATTTGTTTTTGTTTTTAAATATAAACTGTTAGCTTCATTTGCTGCATGAAGAAAATAAACTGCAGAAATATTATCCACGTGTAAAATGCACAGATAGATATTGCTCTTCACAAGGTTTAACTTTTAGGAATCTTTTCCATGCTGATTGCTCATTCAGAAATAAGCTTGTACAGCAGTAGTGGAGCATTTCAGTATACCATATATAATTGTAACCATGGTCATTTCTCTCTTCTCTTTTGCTGTGTCATATATATAGCTCTATATTATCTACTAATCATGTTTCGTTTGTATATATATATATATGTATACGATCTATAACATTTACAACTGTTGCTTTAGTTCAGTTGTTGTTAATATTTAAAGTGACACATCAAGGATAACAGTTGTGAAGTTTAATTAATTTCCATGTTTGTTTTTACAAGGCCTTAAACAAAAATATTTTGAACTTACAGATTGCCACTTTAACTCTGATTTGAGATTACAAATCCTAGTTCAAACTTGACCAGTGAAAACTAGTACTGCTGAATAAATACATTTTAGCAAATCCTAATTGTTGGTGATGATGGGAGAATCAAAGAAAATTGTATTATCTTTCATAGTTCTATGTTTTCAAACTTTTTTTTTTTTAAATTAAAGCTGATCGACCTTTATAGTTCCTTAAGCTTATCACAGTAATTGTATAGTTAATATTTTAGTGCCAGACCATTGAAACATAAAGGAATTGTATTATTTTATTGTTGTATATTATTAAGTAATTGTAGGAAAATAAATCTGCTTTCTCACTGGTTCATTTTAAGTAAAATGCTTGGGATAATATTAATAGACAAGTACAAATCATGACAGATACAATGATGAATAACACTATTTGTTTTATGTCCCACCAGGTACCTTATAGTGTATGTGTAAGTATACATCAATCCACCTATGTCTATGTCTTATAAGTGTACATTTCATATTTAAAATATTAGTCTTTCTTTATCAGAAATGTAAGCTTTACATTTTACTAAAGTTACTAAACTTCCTGTGTCGTTATAAAGGTTGATCCAGCGGGAATAGGCTGCGTGGGAGCTGTAGAAGCTGCTGAGTTTTTGAAGAAGTCTGGCCTATCTGATGCTGTATTAGGAAAGGTTAGCTTTTTTTTCACTGCATTTTCAAGATATGTTGAGGTTTTACTAGTTGGTCCCCCCCCCCTAGCGACACAGCGGTATGTCTGCAGACTTCAATGCTAGAATTCGGGTTTCGATACCCATGGTGGGCAGAGCACAGATAGCCCATTGTGTAGCTTTGTGCTTAATTACAAGCAAGCAAACAAACAAACTAGTTGGTCAGTCAGCAGAAGCAAATATGCATATATCTTTGATGGAAATGCACATTACTTAAACTTGCATCTGTGTTAAAGTGTGAGAACATAATATTACTGTATGAGATAAAAAAATAAAGTATATGTGTTTAAGTGACTTCTTGCATATTTAACAAAAATATTTAAAGTGAAGTTTTAATACTGTATACGGTATAAATGTTATTCAAACAAGCTCTGAAAGTACTCAATATTCCAAGTTTTTTAATTAAAAATTTTTACAGAAGTAAAAACAAAAATACAAACTGCATGTCATGCTTAGATCTTATGTTATTATTCTAACTTAGAAAATCACATGTACATTGATAAATTATAAATGATTTTGTTTGGTAGAACTGAGTAAGAGTTGTTTCTGGATAGCTTCTTGAGGCCAATTATAAAACATTTTTGTAGATTTCTATTAAAAATATACAGTGTAGATAATAATGTGGTAAAAATGTGTATACAAATGTTTTGTGTGTTCATGAATACAGAAATTTAACAAGGTTATTGTAAATCTATTTAAATTTTACCCTTTTTAAAGACGGTTAATATACTACAACTAAGCATATTTCATTAACATTTTGAATATTAAAGCTAGCAAAACAAAAGTAAAACGTATATTTTACAGTTTCAGAATCGATATTTAAACTAAGAGAGCAAAAAATTAAAAATCATTGAATAATGGTTTTCTTATATAATCTCCCTTCATTTAATTTTCAGATCATTTCTCTATATTTTAATATAGTGTTCTCTTAAAAACAGTTTTTGTAATAACATTACTTGTAACTAATACATTTATATATGAGCAAAATATCATAATTAACTATTCCAGTTAACTGAATTTTCAATATTCAAAATTAGAGTTTTGATAAAGAGAATACCATTGTCTTTATTAAGTTATTTTTTTGTGTGTTGTATGTTGTTCACACTCAAAATTTATCGTTTAACAAGATTTAAACATACAATTTTTACAGTTTGAAATTTGAATAGAAAGTGAAGTTTAAGATTGATTTTCAGTCTGTAGCTATGTTAAAGACCTCAAGGTATTGATTCTCTTCCTTTTTTTTCAGTTTCTTATTGCATATCTTTTCTAAGTCAACTAAAGGTAGATTTGTTTAATATTTGTTTAGATATGGGACTTCTCTGATCCAAATGGAAAAGGTTATCTTGATAAAAAAGGACTTTTTGTAAGCTTGAAACTAATTGCTCTAGTTCAAAATGGGCAAAATGTTGATATGGCAAATATCAAACAACAAGTGCCTCCTCCAGATCTGGTAAGATTATATTTCTCAAAATAATCGTTTTTGAACATATGTAGAAAGACTTAAAGAATCTCACTTTCCAAATAGTCGTTATTTTGTTAATGAATGCTCTAAAATTTTGTATTTCCATAATGTTATTTTTTATAAACACTAATCTGTGGTTTTATTTGATATGTAATTTAATTTGATTTTCATAAAATCTAGTCATACTTTTTTTTGTTGTTTTACATAGGGTCCTACATCTTTAAATAGAAAAATGTCTACAGTAATTGACTGGTCTATAAAGGTAATTTATTATATTGTGTTTTATAAATGCATATTAGTTTGTTATTAATATTATCATAAGTTGTATAGAGATCATTGAAATAATGTAAAACAATATAATTCATTAATCTAAAAATTAAATGAAACATATATTTTTTTTAGCATGAATCTACTTATAATTAGAGTTTAAAACCATAAATAACTAATAAATTGTCAGTTATTTATATGCGTCATTGACTTATGAACCTGTTAATTATGGACATAGCACTTATCAAAAAGATACGAGACAGACAGTTTAAAGGAGGGTCTTGTACTTACGTATTTTTCCTGGTTCTATGCACAATCAAGTTAATTTTATCCCACAGTTTATGCAGAATGATGGAATAAGACCAGAATTAAAGATATTGATTTGAGAATAAGAATTGTCTTAAAAATTATAGATTAATGATATTTGACCATCAGATGTGACAAAATAAGGCCTATCTTACAATCTTGTATTGATTACTTAATACTGTAACACATTGAAAATGGGAGTGACATTTAAATATAAAAATATTAAATACATGCATAAATTAAATTCATTACAACATTTATTTTAATTTCTAGTGATTTGACAAATTCAATAAAATGAATTGATCTCTGGATTTTTATTCAAAACTGTAAGATTGTAAAACTAGAATTTATGTAGACATACGTGTAGAAACAGAACTTGTGAGTACTTTTGATATCCAGTTTCAAAGTTTTTGTAAAAAAAATAATTCTTACCCTATTTCAACAATTTTTTTAGTTGGAAATATGTTATAACTGTTATTTTGTCATTTTATAACATTCATTTAGAGTATTTTGCAACAAAAATAATAAAATGTTCAAACCTACATTTCTGCACAGCTCCAAGTACTGTCCCCTGTTCAAAATAACAGCCAGTAAACAAAACATACTACATATTATAAACTGCTGAATACATGTACAGTGTATGTGTATCATATGTATGCAGTGATGAAAACTAAAGTGAAGCAAATAAATGTTTAATATGAAAATTCTTTACAAAGAATATAATGAACACACTATCAGTGAGTTTCTTGTTCGATGTAGCCATCAGAACGCAAAAAGTATGAAGAAATGTTTAATTCATTGAAACCAACCAATGACAAGCTACCTGGGAGTAAAGTAAAACCTGTAAGTTTCTTAAAGTATCTACTCAATCTGAGCCATCTGTAAATTTTATTTTATTGTATATTTTACAGAGCAGAGAAGCCATACTACCAGAATGTATTACTGCTTGTTTATTTTAAGATCAATCTAACCGTGGCTCATTTAACATGTCTTAATCACATGTAATATTAAAATTGTTAATAATTTTATTTTGTAATGCCATAAAATTAATATTAGTAAAAATAATTACTGAAAGTTTTTATAACTATACTGTAAGCTTTAAATATACTTTTAGTATTTTGTTATGAGAAAACAAATGAGTTGATGTGAGTGCTTATTGTAATATCAAATTAATAAAGTTTTTACAATTTGTTAAGCCTTTAGTTTTTTAAATGTTTGTTTAATTTAGAAACTCATCTACTTGATCTTTTGGGCATTTTTTATACCTTTTTCCAGGATTTAATGGCATTCATTCATTGACAAATAATGAAACGCTTTCTTAATTTTAGTTGTCCAGAAAATCCATCATGACAGTAGGCCAGTGTTAAACCATTCAGTCCCCTATAGGAGACTATGTTACAACTCACAAGTCTGTATATAAGAAAACAAAAAGTCATACTTATATATATACAAACACACATGCAATTAAATGCCTTAGAAATGGAAAATTAGCAACATAACATGCCAGTGGATACAGAAATTCATTCTCTGAATGTTTAATTGGAGTAAAGGGAGAAATCGATGTAATTATATGACAAACTCGTACATGTTATTTCCATGTATTTTGTTGATTAGACTAATGTATATTATTAAGACTAATTTTCATGTTTATTTGTTTTATAATAGAATGAATGCATATTTAGATAATGTGCCATTTTAGTAAGTCATAGATTTTGGGAGGTGGGGAGTGAAAACACCTTTATTTAAGACATATCTATTTTTGAAAATTCAATCAATGCAACTTGTAGAAAAAACTTAAAATTTAAAGCAGAAACAGTGTCTATAATGCACAATTTTTTTACCAGATAATGACAGTGTAAAGCTGCAGAAATACGTGGAGTCTTTTATTGTTAGGCATCGGCCAAATAAAACATTTATTGGGCGTTTTAAATGTTGTTCCTGCTTTTAATTTTGAATACAATTTTTGGCCTTCTGGTCACACAGCAGCAAGTCTTTAGGTGTATAATGCTAAAAACTGGGTATCAATACCCTTAGTGGACAAAGTACAGGTAAGCCATTTGAGTTTGACATATAAAAAATGTTTGTACATTTCTAGAAGATGGATCAGGTGGTCAATGCTAGAGATGGTGTGAACTTAATATCTCACTAGTACGGTGCATGCACAGGAAATCTTAGTGTTGGTCTCATTAAAGCCAATCCTCTGCCTCCTTATTATAGTTAGGTTAAGAATACATGAAATACAAGCCTTTACATAAAGATCAAAGGCTCGTGTAATTGTTGTGCTTCCAAAAATGTTCAAGGAACCTTATTTGAGTTCTTTCTAAGATATGGATGTTGTAATAACCTAATGATATTTGTGTTTGAATGTAAATGAGGACATGTATTCTGATTAATATGATATTTTAATGCCACTTTTACAGATTATGTTGAATTCCAAACTTCCACTTGAAACACTAGGCAAGGTAAGAGAGTTACATCTAGGTATGTGTGTGTGTTGTATGCTTTGTTTGGAAATAAAATGTAAATATTATGAAAAGCATTATATATTCCTCTTAGAAGTTAGACTCCAACATTTTGATACGTAACTATAGGAAACCTAATATCAGGTCATAATTAAATATCTTAATTTAGAAACTCCCCACGGTGACTCAGTGGTAGGTCTTAAGGCTTATGACATTAAAAACCAGGTATCAGTACTTGTGGTGGGCACAGCACAGATTACCCTTTGTGTATCCTTGTGCTTTGACAAAAGAATCAAATTTAATTTAGGTATTGATTAAATACATAATTCAATAACATTGTGACAGTATCTACACATAAATGTAGCTATTACAAATACATGTAAATGATATGATTTAGTATATTGGAGTACCACTAAAGTAATTTCATCTACTAATGAAACCAAATATTAAGATATTTCTTGACTGCTAGAATACTTTAAAGTTCATCATTCAAAACAGTTTTAGTGATTATTCTGTGACTATAAGCCAACAGAAAGTATATATTACTATAACAAAAGAATGAATGTCATTGTAATGCTAGTTTTTTCCCCCACTTTTAAGATATGGGAGCTAAGTGATATTGACCAAGATGGCTTCCTGGATAGAGATGAATTTATCCTTGTAAGTATAGTATATAGTTTGTGAATGCAAATGTCAAATTAAACATTACATTTTTGTATAAGTGCATATTTAGCAAGCAATTTTGTGTGCAAAAAATATTATGATAAGCCATAACAAAGTACCTTCTCATTAGTGCTAGGTAAGATTTCTATGAACGTTCTTTGCATTTATGCTGCTTGTTTTAGGGTCATCATTATCTCAACATATTTATTTACAGCAATTTCTTTTCATAATCTTTCATGCTAGTATTCCCCCCAGTTGCTCAGCGGTAAGTCTGAGAGCTTATAACACTAAAGATTGGGTTTCAGTATCAATTGTGGGCAGAGCACAGATAGCTCATCTTGTAGCTTAGTGGTTAATAACATAAACAAATGCTGATATAGCAAAATGTTGACAAATTGAATTTGTTAAAGAAAACAATTGTAATGAATCCTGACCCCCATGGGACGGGGGTAAGTTTATGGATTTGCAATACTTCCCAGCAAGGGACACAGCAGATAGCCCAATGTAGTTTTGCTCTAAAAAACAAACAAGCAATGAATCCTAGTTTTGTATTTAGATTTATTTTTCAAAAAGACATAAAATTATTGATGGTATAATACAAGGAATCAGATCATCTTGTACAGATTTTATGTTGGTAAACTCTCTGCAATAAAAAAAATGCTTTTGACAGAAATAGCATGGATCATTCACTTCTACCGAGTGTTTACGAATGTACAAAGTTTCATGCTTTAAAATTATATAACTGAAATTCTGTAACGTGAATAGAAATGTAGTAAAGATGTGTTTTACGAAATGCAAATCTCTGTTACACTACTTTGTTGAATTCACTGTTAAATATGCTTGATTTATAGTAATTCAAAACACAAAGAACATTCTCATATTTTACTTTATTAAAACTTTACAGGCAATGCATTTGGTTTACAAAGCTCTTGAAAATGTCCCAATTCCTTCAGAATTACCCCCTGATCTGATCCCTGTGTCTAAAAGAAAATCATCTCTCGCTGGTGCAATTCCAGTGTTACCAGACCTTTTACCTGGAATGGATGGAGGTTTCAGTGGTCATAGGTCAAGTACACCTACCATGGATTTAACTGCTAAAAATGTATGTTAAGACTTACGATAACATAGGTGTTTTAAGTAATTTATTTAATTTTTTTTCCTTTGCATTTTTTTACTCGGAAGAATTTAAAATGTGTTCAGTGAGTGAACTTTTTATGTGTACTTCGTGATTTCAAAATGAAAATGTAGATTTTATATGCTGGAAATACAGCTCATATACAGTAGTTTATGTACATGTATGAGCTAACTTTGGATCAGTTTGAGTGGATTAGAAGTTTGAAAATAAACATTCTATTTACAGATTCATCTCTGTATTAAATCTGGATTGAACATAGTTTTATCTGTGTATTTTTCTTCATCGAAATCATTCTTTTTGTCAAGAACATTTCTCGTTGATGTTATTTTCTGTTACTAGAATGTGTGAATTAATAAAGTTATAGCAATATAAACCCCATTAACTTCTTGTGTAATAGAATAATTTTGAACTTTATTCTTGCAGATTCACAATACAACTGCAGTACCATGGGTAGTGACTGCCACAGATAAGGCAAAGTATGATGAAATTTTTCACAAACTTGACCAAGATCAAGATGGTTTTGTTACAGGTCCAGATGTCAAAGATACATTCATTCAGTCAGGTCTTTTTCAGAATACTCTAGCTTACATCTGGTATGTTTTTTTTTTCTTTCTATACTGAAGATTTTATTTATATAGTTAAAAATTAATACAAATATACACGTCATTTCAGAACAGTGTTAGATTTCTGTCATAGTTAATTGTGAACTTTCTATATTGACTTTCCACAGAATTGAATATTTTTTATAATTTATTCTGAAACTACTTGATTAATGTAGAGAAATGATGGTATTTAAATTAAAGCATCATGTATTATTATCAATGAAGCATTTACTAGTTCATGAATTAGTTGTAATGTGAACTCATTATGGTTTACATGGTTCAGGGAAACTGAAAAAAGTTTGTGAATTTTTATATTTTGTGTCCTTGATCTGGAAAGCATCAGGGAATTTTATTTTACAGACAAAAACCAGTAAAAGTCAATGAATTTCATGTGATTCAGTGATGCTTCTAGGACATGGATGGCTAAAAAAAAATTATGATTAGTGCCAAAACATTGCATACAGGTTACTTCTGGCACATTTATGCATAAACATTGTTCTTTTTTTCTACATCATACTTTTTGTTTACATTTAATTATCATGGAGTGTGAAGGTAACTGCAATAGATTATGTAAATAGTAGCTAGGTTCTTGCCCAAATATAAGGGCTCTGGATAAGGCTTTGTCTCTCTTTTTTGTAAAAGTCATGGAGGATCCTTTTACTACAACTCAAAAGCCCTTAACAACTTACTATATCGAGATAGACTATTTCCATTAAAGAAGTTATTTTGATCTTACAAATTTTATTTCATTAATAAAATGGTCTCCTTGAAAAAATAGTCAAGGGGGGAACATGTCATACTCTTGATGTATTATATCATTGACATATTTGTGTAGGAAAGATATTAAACATCAAAACATAAACAAATAGTTTGATTATTTTGGTAAAGCCTGGATGTTCAAAGATAAAACAAATCTACACAATTTTGGTGAGTTATTATTTTTATTTCATATATGTACTTATATGTATTCAATTAATTATCAAAAACAACTATAATGATTATGTAAAATATTAATTTACTATTTGTTATTGGCACTATTTGTTATCCATAAGTCTTTGTACAAACATTTGAACTCGTACTAATGAGTAACTGAATACATCACGTCCACCCGGTAATATTCAATTTAATGCATCAGAAATATGAGTAATATGTTAGCAAAATACTGTTTGTCAAACAACAAGCAAGATGCTAGGGATAGGAAATAGTAAAGACTAAAGGTAAAGATGAGTCTGCACAATTTTGAAACTATGGACTTTCAGACCACATTATGCTCTTGAGATTGAGATATTAGTTTGGAGATTGCATAGTGCTAGTGTGGTTGAGTGCGAGTGATGTGTCTTTGTAGTTTTGTCCAAATTCAAGAACCATACCAGAATAAGAATAATGTGAGTACTTTTAGTAAAAATTAAACTAAGTAGCAATTCTTACTTGATGTAACATGCAACTTTATATAAGAATAGAATGTAAAACTTAATGCAGTATTACTGTCAGTGATGAACATGTTTGTGTACAGTGATATTCATGTGTGCGCCATCTACCATAACCTCTCTGAGTGTGATTGTACATTATGATTGTGTAGAATTATAATGCAACTATAAGCATTATGGATATCTTATCAGCAGGTCTGATTCCATGTATGAAGTATCCTGTAATATATTTTGAACTTACAATTTTTTTTTATCATGTTAGTTCAAAGATTTCAATACTTTTGATATATATGGACTTGATTTGCACAATTTTCATGCATGTGCAAAAAAAAATTATAATGTGCTCTGAATCACTGGATGATTTTGTTAACATATACATTTGTTTTATAAGTATTGAAAATATAAGTTTACTGTAGTGTATGGTTAGCAACTGAAAGTTTTGTGCACCTCTGGTAGTATTGATTTAAAAAATATTTGACAGACAAGAAGCTTACTTGTGAAAGAATATTCCAATGTACAGCAATAACATGTTCCTTCTGTGTATTAAAAGTTGAAATGTGATAATCCCAAGTATTCAAATTAAGAAATTATATCGGTATGCATCATAAACAAGTGGATAGACTGCCTGTGTTATGTATGTTCTGATTAAGTATCATTAAATCGAGAATGGCATGACCAGCAATCATATTGAAACTTTGCAAGAAGACATTTAAGCAAACTGTGAATCTTAACATACAGCTTGACTTATTTTTATTAAACAATACATGAATAATATTTTGTAATTTTACATAGTATTATAGTTCAATGATACATAATAAGTACATATCAGTTGGTCAAGAAATAACATATTTTGGTCAGGGAATTTGATGTTACTCAAAGTGTAGGAACCATGTGAACTAAAAAAAGTTTTTTATGGGTAGGTACAGAAACAGTAGCAGCTATTAATGTACAGACATACAAAAATATTTTAATAATAATCTTTTATAGGTATGCTGACGAGTAGTTCTTGCATTATGTAATTCGATACCTTAATGTAAGCTTGCAATTTATATGACACGAATATAGACATGGTTCAAAGGGCAATAAAATATAAATAGATGTATACTGTTACAAGCTATAAGCTGCTTAGGATAAACAATTGTGGTTTTCTGTTACAATTTGCAATCATTCCAGAAAGAAAATAGGGGATATTTGGAATTATTTCCTAATGTTTTATGGTGATTATGAGGTTGGTAAAATCAACTGACCTCGTATAGAGTTAGGTTAAAGAAAATAACAGATAAAACAAAGTTTTTCTGAAAAACAAAACATTTGATATTTGTTTAGGAGGTTTTAGGGATTATGGATATTTGAAAATTTTCAGATGAAAAAAAAAATTAATCTTATCATGAAAATTACTTTTCACTTATAAAGAGAAACAACATGCAGTGTATATTGTAAAAAAAGTTTTTCATTGAACATTAACATGCTGTCTTCCACTTGCAGAAGGTAAACATGCAGTGTATATTGTAAATAAAGTTTTTCATTGACACTGAAGTGCTTTTTTTTCCTTTTTTTTAAGTTTATTAAATTCTACCTATGGGACCCTTGAAAATCTCACTGAGACTCTTGAAAACAAAATGCTGAGAGTCTGGGACCTCTCACTTTGAACCCTAGTGAGAACCTTGGTCTTATGCTTACCAATGAGTAGATTAAGGTCTCAAACTGTGTAGGCTCACAAAAAAACTTTGTCTACAATGTTAGAAATTAAGCTGTTACTTTGCACATGGGCTTTGTTGGAAACTAAGTTACCATAATAAATTTTATCTTCATTTAAAAATAAATTTTGAATATTTTAATACAACTGTGTATTAGAGTACATTATAAATAGATATTTATCATTGTGAATGTACTATTTATTTAGAATTTAGTGCAATGTTATTTAATGCTTATTTTTGTCATTTGTAGGTTCTTTTGGTATGGAAAAGTTTTGTGGTTGTAACATTTTGTGTGTCTTAAATATATTTAGTTTTAAAAGTATTACTTGTTCCTTTGTTGAAGGTGTTTATGTGATGTGAAGGAAAATGGAAAACTTAACTCTGAACAATTTGCACTGGCATTGTATCTGATTAATTTAAAACTTCAGGGTGGTGACATTCCTTCAAAACTTACTCCAGACATGATACCTCCATCACTAAGACCAAAACCAACTAATGACTCGTTTAGTTTGCAGGTGAGTGTATATATATATATATATATATTTAATTCTTCTTCTAATATTTGTAATCTTATCATGATAAATAGTAGACTAAAGAAATTATAAACAAATATATTGGATACTTTGAATTTCATCTAGTCTCTTCTCATCTTGTAAACACAGCAGATGAAACGAAGAATTCAAGGTAGTGCATTGTGATAGCTGGTGATTGGCCAGGAGGTTTGTAGAGAATTGTATTTATACACGATTGAAAATTGCTGGGGTTAGGTGGAGCAGAGCACTGAATCTAATTCTTGGCCTAACCAAAATAATATTGTTGTGTTAAGTATCTCTATAATATTATGTTTTAAAAATGCTTCTTTTTTTATTCTATGTTTAATTTTACACTAAAATTATATCAGTGTACATTGACCACATACAAAATAGTAATTCAAGTTTCATTAGTTGAATCTATTATCATTGTTAACATTTTTGGTTGTCATTCTCAAGTTATTCAAAACACTTAGTACTAATTAGATACCAGGCACACTTATATTGTAAGGTTAAACATACACCTCTGCAATTTTAAGTACCTCAAATCTTCAATTGAAATTGTAAACTTGTTCAATTATGCATAATAATGTTGACTTACTCTTTTAGTCTTTGTAGTAATAATAAAAAAAACTATTTTTTAAATCTTTTAGGATGGGCTGACAGTTGTTTCTAGTAGTATGGCATCTGCTAGCAGCAAAGAACTAGATATGATGAACACCGAAGTCAAAGAGTTACAGAAGTAAGCAAGCAATATCCAAATTTTAAAAAATAAGGAGAAACTTTTCTATGCTCATATTTTTTTTTTTGCTTCTGCTTGAAAAAATATTGTAACATATTTTTTTATTGCAGTTGTTTAAGATATGTAATGTTTCCTTAGGAGTGTTCTGTTACCCATTGGTATTACCTTTCTGTATATAGACAGAAGTACATAATCTTTTTTCAAACTTTTTTTGTTAAATTTTTGGTTCAAAACATGCTGAAATCATTAACTTTTAGCAAAAATACTTTATTAGAAATTCTGATTTTTTCTGTAAAAAAAGGCTTATAATGTTTACTGAAAGCTTGCCAAATTTCGTGAAGATACATAAATCATATCATATCGGATGATGTATTGATATAATCATATTGCGACTCCACTCGTATTGTATCGCTATATATCTCTACACCTTTAATAAATATGTTATACATGTTGTATGCTACAGGTAGTCCGAATTAGCCGTGTTCGACTTTGGAGACCTGTAATTATTGAAAAAATAAGAACAATACTATCATACTCAAAACAAATTAAATAAATACTATGTATAGTGGAGGTACCTCTACTAGTATATAATTACATATCCAGAAAGGATTTACATTGGTCTCATCAAACCTAAATATGTATTGTTAACAATAGTTTACCAAGAGATAAAAATATCCCATTTAAACATAGCTCTTATTTTAAAGAGAAAAAATACAGTTAGAACAAGATATAGCACAGAAGGAAGCTGACATGAAAATTCGCAGTGGTGAACTAAAAACTCTTCAGAATGAAGCAGAGGCTCTTTCGGCCATGTTAAAGCAACTGGAAGTTCAGAAAAGGGAAGCTCAGAAACGGTTGGATGATCTAGATAATCAGGTACATTAATTTTAAATAGTAAGTAGTGCAAGATGTATTATTGAATTTGTTAGATGAATATGATTAGAATATACTTTATTTTCAAAAAATATTTAAAGTCACTGATTATTTTGTACTATTCATGTTTTTTATACATAATGAAAGCAAGAAAGCTAGCTTGTTGGTTCACGAGGTCTTGTGAATGATTGTAAAGTTAACTCAAATACAATAATAAATAAATAAAATAGAGAAAAAAATTTTAAAATAAAATAATAAGTAATGTTGTGTTATTAATTTTTACCTGAAAGTGTGATCTGTAAATGACCTAAATAAAAATGATAATAATAACAGTTCACTTGTTTAATCCGATTTACACCCTAACAGTCATTGTCATATTTCAGCTGACCTGATGAGCCCTATTATTGGGCAGAAGGCCTTATTAGCACTGTATATGGTATATGTGGCGTGGTTGACATATAACAAATTCTCCTTTGCTTTCACTTGTGGATTCTTAGAATATACAAATTTAGAAAAAATGCCATTTAAATTTTTAATTCTAGTAAAATGTTTATTAAAACATAGTTTTATCCTACACATTAAGACTTGCTGAAGCTCTATCAATAAATTCACATGTAAATGGTAAAAAACAACAACATTTTTTTTTTTGGTTAGTTTCCTCATTTGTCATCAGGGATTCATATCTATGTATATGTTTTAAGCTAATGCAACAAGTTTATCTATGTTGGGAGAAAGGTTTTAATATTTAAAGATAAAAGTTAACATATGTGGGAATCTATATAGAAAGTTACATTAGATTTTAATTTGGACTTGTTAATTTTAGAGCTCATCAATTAATGTCACAAAAATAATCAATATTGTTCCAATTATTTCAACTATCGAGTAATCAAAATATTGCCATTATAATTTTCATTATTATTTTTAATCCATTGAAGTTTGTTCAGCATAATAAATTATGGTTACAAATCATAAAAATAATCAATTAATTGAAATTAGGGTTTTCAATTAATACTATTTTATATCCAAGCAGTTGAAAAAATGTTAGCTTGTTGTTAAGCGCAAAACTACACAATGGGCCATCTGTGTTCTGTTCACTACGGATATCAGAACACAATTTGTAGTGGTATATTTTTATTATCTCACAAGAATAATCAAAAAATGTATTTAATAGTACATTAGTAAAAATGTAGAATGGAAAAGCCAACAACGTATATATTAACTATATTTTTTCTCGAGGGGGTAATAAGATTTGTAAAGTGAAAAGTTGTGATCACGCATATTTTGACATTGCATGAGTTAGAGCTGGGAAAATGTAAAATGTAACTATGAAAGTTTGGATATTTTGTAAGTGAATAAAGTTTTAGTTATGAGGTATACAATGTACCTCAAGCCATTAAGAGAAGGCTTATACCAGTAAAAGCTTGATCCTAATACACAGAATTACATGCATTTAATAACTTTTAATAATAGAGTGAATCGTACCAGTAACATATGTCAAAAAGTTGAAAGTGTTTTTGAGAAAATATTTTTCCTGTTATTTTTTATGTTATGATTATTTTAATATGTAATTATTGAAAATTGTAAGAAATGAAACTAATGGTTTTTAAACTAAACTTAAAAAAAATGATTCTGATTTTTCTGGCTTACAAAGTCTATAAAAAAAATAAGTGACATTTAAGTCTGAAATGTGACCATCAAATGCAAACATTTTCCCAATTTTATGAAATTCAGAATCTTTTTTAAACAAATTTGAATAGGAATTGGAGCTTAATTTCACTAGTAAGAACAAACAGATCAAGTTTGAATAGTGAAATATTTACCTTAATTCTAACCTTTTTGCCAACACAGGTATATGTATTGGTGCTTATAGACATCATACTAGTATGTGCACATGTAGCATACTCTACTTGTTGGCCTAATAGGCCACACTATTGTCGACATCATAGTAGTATGTGCACGTGTAGCATGCTCTACTTGTAGGCCTAATAGGCCACACTATTGTCGACATCATAGTAGTATGTGCACATATAGCATGCTTTATTTGTAGGCCTAATAGGCCACACTATTGCAGGCATCATAGTAGTATGTGCACATGCAGCATGCTGTACTTGTAGGCCTAATAGGCCACAGTATTGTAGACATCATAGTAGTATGTGCACATATAGCATGCTCTACTTGTAGGCCTAATTGGCCACACTATTGTAGACATCATAGTAGTATGTGCACATGTTGCGTGCTCTACTTGTAGGCCTAATACGCCACTCTAATTATGTGTTTTTTTTTTTACTCTTCATGAACTAAGGCTATTGATCAAAGGTGTAAATCAGGGTTCCCAAACTATGGGCTAAAGGAAAGCATTAGGGAGGCCAAAGCAAGTATACAAACTGCACATTACTGTTAAGATAATCAGATTCTATAAGTTTATTGGATGAGAGCCTCATTCAATATGTGGAATGTTCTTTGGGGCTTCCTGCTGAGAAAGTTTGGGAACCCCTGGCGTAAATAGTGGTGTACCCACTGATGAGTTTATTTTATATATTCTACTGAAGATTAATAATAAATATGAATAAACAGACAAAACCAATTTAATAAAACTGAAGAAAGTGAAGTTTTGTGTTGCTGAATTTACAAATTTATTTAGGTAAATTATAGATGTAGCTTCCTGCTTTACACTGTACATGACATTTATTGCTGTAAAGGGATGTGAACGTATGATTTTGAGTAAATCAAATGAATTATAGACTTAGCTTCCTGCTTTACACTATACATGTCATTTATTGCTGTAAAGGGATGTGAATGTATGCTATTGTCTTTGTTTTTATTTTTAAAAAAATTGAGCTTCTTTGATCTATTGATTTGACTCAAACAAAATTGATTAATAGTATATAAAGGTTCTCTTCCACCACCATCCGCTAATGTGCTACTATCCTGTGCTCTCACTCTACCACCATGTGTTGACTGTGTTTAGTCAAGTATATGTCCACTTTCCACAATTATAATAACCTATGGATGTTTATAAACCATTTACTCCTTTATTAAAGATATAATTATTGTAAATAAAAGCCAGTGGTAACACTTTGGGTTTGTTAGGGTTCAAATAGAGGTAGAACAATAGTAACAAAAAAAATATCTAATAAAGCCATATTCTGATTTATTAGGGTGGAAAATTATCAAAATATTCACACTCAAAGTTTGCAAGTTAGAAAAATAATGAATTTTAATCCTCTAACTAAAATGCCAGTGTGTGTTGATTCATCACACCTGTTTATAGGTTATTTTATTATATTTCAAAAACACTTCACATTAAGGGAAAAATTTCTCATGTTTATGACCAACTCAAACACTGGGCTATGAACAGTATATTTTATAATTTAATTATAATATTTTAGGTAGTAGAGTAGTGTATAATGAGGAGTTATTTTTATTTTAATTTACTTATTTAATTGTAGTTGTAGTTTTGTATCACATTTTTTCCTTTTAAGTTATCTTTGCATGCTTCCTACTCCATTAGAAAACGTCTGTAGAAAATAGTTTATCAGACCTGAAGCAGAAAGTAGAAGAGGATGCACAACAGGTATTAATAGTAACTTCAAGTTTGGTTATTTTTCATTTTTATATGATAATTTTAAACAATTTTTGTGGTTTGATAAATCATCATTTTTTGGGGGAAAGTTTAACTTTTTTTTTTCCTTTGCTTCATGTTTGACTGTTTGAAACTGCGTATTTGATTATTTATTTATCAAAGTTTTAATAAAGCTTGCTACTCAACTGCTTTATATTTTGCTTCTGCATCGAATATGCTGCATGTTAAAGCATTTGTGCTTCGATAGATGAAATAGTAGGAAGGCAAGAAAGTTGAACTAGTGTATCATTTTACATCTTAATACAACATGATCTATTTTCTGAAACAATCATACTGTAAATCGTAACAATTTTTGGAACAATAGCAAGCATATTAAAAGTGTTTGCTGTTAATAAGTAGAACCAATGTAATCAGATGTATACATTTATTTTATTATATTTAAAAGTTTAAGCAACTTTTGTTCTGACAGCTGTATTTTTTAATTTTGATAATCACAAAGATATAGTGTTCTTGTATACAAAAAACAAGTGAAGTAGTAACCTTAAAAACCTTTTTAGGGACAAATAGTGATAAACCATATAAAATTGAGTTTAAAACAAAACAAAAAAACAATTTCATTAAAATCAAGCGGTTGAAAACCTTCCCAACATTCAACACAGTTCAGTGTCTTCCTCAGTAGCTAATATGTGTTGTGATTCTTTGAAGCTAATTAAATACAATGACAGTAGTAATGTGCAGGGGTGTATTAAGGAAGGCCTATTGGGGCTGTAGCCTCAGGCCCGGGCTCATGAATGACCTGTTTTAAAAAAAGGACCTGTCTTGTCTCCAAAAGTAAAGCATATCTTGAGGTTCAGTTTTTTTGTACCATAGTCTTTAGTTGCTATCATAATAGGCTGGGTAGAAAAATTTTGCCCTAGACCCATTTGACACTTAATCTGCCTCTGGTAACATGTGGTACAGTTTATGGATCCACATTTTTAGCTGAAATGTCATAAAATCTATTATGGTTAGACAGGCCAAACATGAAATACAGGTAGTAAAAAATGCAAAAATTATATCAAATTAAGGTGTATTGATGCTTCAGGAGTAGCACAAAACATTCTTATACATACACATTCTGACATGGAAAAAATAGTAAAGTTATAGCCAATTTCAATAATAAATTTTTCTTAACTCGTGGGATATCCTACAAAACGAAAATTACGTGAACATTGGTACCATTACAAGTGTACCACCATAATACCATATGTTTCTACTATAATCATATTTAGTCACCTACAGTGAATTACAACACACAGCATCCACTGCAATAGACTGTGCCAAAATGCTTGGTAGATTTTTTAACTATCTGGTTTTATTGAAACTGTTTTAAGCTTTTTTAATGTAAACTTAAATTTGTCTGGTGTTTGTCAGTAAAAAAGGCTTTTAATGTTATGTATCCATACTTCTTTAGCCATTCTTTACACAATAGTAACCATGGGTTATTGTTAGACATTAACATAATGACATCTGTCTCCAGCTATCTACATATATATATGTACAGGTATAGTACCAACTGTATCTAATATAATAGATCACCATGAAATACTGATGTATGTTTACACAGTATGTTTATTTATCTCCAGCCATTCACTGGATGTATGTCAAAATCAATTTTTCCGTACTTTGTACCATAATACACGTATGGGCACCACTTGCTCAACTGTTTTACAATTAGTGTGAATCAGTAGTATGGTGTTGATGCATTGGCTGTTGTTCTGGAAATTTGTTAAGTACATCTTTACATATCATATAGATATTTTACTCAAAATGCCATTTTTTTGTCATTTTGTATGTACATGCAAGTTACAGTATTTTGACCTTAAAGTATGTGTTTATTTCTTTTTTTGTTCTAAAAATAAATGCTTATAAAGCTTTTATTGAAAAGAAAGCTTGTATATACTGATTTAAATTAATGTGATTATGATATGCATGGCTAGAAATAAACAGGCTGTTTGACAGAGTGCAGATACATCTCTATAATATACAAATATTCATATTTCATGAATTTACAATAATAATATTTAAAAATATTCATACATTTGTGGTTTTGTTTTTCTGTACAAGGTGGGAAGCTTGAAAAAGCAAGTAGAAGACCAGAAAAAAGTTTTAAAGGTTTGATTAACTTTTTAGTTTTTAGGTAGCAATAGAAGTCATTAAAGTGATATAACTGGTTTTTTATGGTAAAGAATTTCAACATTGGTAATAAATAAGTAGTTTTGGTCATCATGGTTAGTAATATATTTATAGAGCTATTTATTTCTTAGAATTGATCACTTGCTTTAATTGCAAAATAAAGTTTATTTGCTTGTTTTAAACACAGAACATTTTCTCTGAAAACTCAAATCCAACTAAACTTTATAGCTTATAGTAGAAAATACAATTATGTGCTTTATAGGAAGTACAAAGTTATTATTTTTTTTATCATAATTATTATCACTTTGTGACAGGATTTGATTTTAGTCTCCTATGCTAGATTTTAACATTGTTATTACAATCTTTGTCATTGCTGTCACTTCATTTACACAAAAATATAATATTTGCCATTTAAATTGGAGCTCTTCATGTCCAAGATTTTTAAGATTTTACAACATCCTTTTAATGCTATATTTTTAGTTACTACAATTGTTTATGTATCAATATCCAATTTTCACATCTTTGAATAATTATAATCATTTATTCTCTAAAGCCATATCACAATCATATCATTAAATGTTATAATCAACAAGTATATGTTTGACAATCATATTTCAGTATAATTAGCAGGCCCTTCATGAGCCAGTGGGGGACATTTTTGTTGAAAAAAAAGATCTACCCAATCTGGTTTTTCTTAATTTGAACTGAAATTTTTGAATATTTTTATTGGCTAAAAATAAGGCATTTCCCACACTCTTTTACTGTTGGGGCTGCAAAAAGTGATTTGAGGTGGTAAGGTGACTGAAATCCGTCAGCGCATCACGAGCTTAATGGCCAAGCACAAGAAGCATGGAAGTCTCCAACTAACACGCACAGGTTATTTAGAAACCATTTGGAACCACCTTAGTAGATGTTGTTCAGCAAGCCGAGTACAATATTATGCCTGTAGCTGCTTTCAAAGTGTTCCTGTCTGCTCAACCTACTGCTGACTATCGTGATGCTTCGACCTTCCCTATCGAATCGCAAGTGAAATTGTTCATATCTTAGTTGAAAGCTAAACATAAAAAGGTGATAGCAAAAGCATAAAAGGTTGGCAGTTGCTTAATTAATGATGCTGGGAATGTGGCTTTATTGATATATACTGAATTTACTCCCAGCAGGTAGACCTTAGTACTAGCTAGTATGGACACTTGAGGATGCTGCATTTCACTTAAAAATTTATCAATTAACAAACAAAAACTTGTCTCAAAGTTATCTCGAAAAGATACATCCAAAACTAACCTCTTTGGGAGTTTCTGGATTGAACTTACTTTTAATATTCAACAAATTGTAGTGTAAAGACACCCCTTGACTCCTGAGGGACGTGTTAAAAACATTGTAGTAAGTGTCTTGCATTTTGATAAAACAAGAGAATTTGGTCATCTCACAATATTTGTAAAACAGTTATAAATGTGACAATGATCAGTCCAAGACTAATCACGGCATCACTAAATGAGTTAGGTTGCTGAATCAAGTATCCCTGAGTTGATTGATTAATTAATTTAGTTTTAATTTAAAATTCAAGATTAACTGTTGAATGTGTTGTCAACCATGCAGGATCAAGAGGAAACACTCAATAAGAAAAGGTGTGAGTTAAATGAACTGAGACAAGAAGAAGCACAGTTAGAACAGCGAGTGGAGTCAAAAAGAAGTGAATTGGAAGTACTGACTCAAACTTTACAAAAAGCTCAGACTCAAGTTTCACAGGTGGATGTTTAGATTTGTTTTTCTGATGGTTAGATTGGCTACGGTCATGTGAATGACGCTTTGCTTTCTGGTAATAAACAGAAAATGTCTTTGTCTTCTGGAGTTTCAAAAGCTGTCACTGTAAGCTTTAGATAAATATGTTTATGTTCTAAGAATTGCCATGCTTCAAATTAAAATACATTTTATTTTAGTACGCAGACTTAATAATTTGAGTATTAATTCTAAGTAGAAAAAAGTGTTAAAAGTTTGCACTGGAATTGGACCATATAATAATATTTAAAAGTCATTTAATCATCTAAAGCAACTGTGTATGTGTGTTTTGTTTTACCTATTGATCTTTCTTATTCAGCCTGATCACTACCATGGCCAAATGAGTAAGGATTAAGTATCCCAGGGTTGACCTTTGACAGTGATATTACTACAAAATTTCCATGAGTTAACCTATTTATAGTTTAACATTTTTAGTAATTAAGTGACTCAAGATGAAACAGAAACATTAGTGTTTGATTTAACTCTTTTAAACCTGAGCAGATGCTGCCAGCATCTGGCTGAAAATTCCAATTTATCCATCGGATGGTGACAGTGTCTTATAACATTTATGTCTCTTTGGTTGAAAACTAATCCAAACTATGTTATTATCCACAAAGTTTAGAAAATTGAAACTTTTTAAGGTATGTTGATAATTATTAGGAAACCATGAAACTAATTCCAACAGAACTCACAAAAAATTATGGATTTAAAGAGTTAATAAACAACATGCTCAAAATTAAATTAGTCAGTTAATGCAAAAGACTAAAATGACTGAGTTTCAGAAAATATAGGATTTTTCTTGAAAATTTCATAATCATATAATCATATAAAGTTTATTAATAGTTTTATTGGAAAGTTTTAACTTGCTATTAACTTGTGTGTGGGCTTTTATATAAAAATGATTTTTTGTTATTTGAACAACTTTTATATATGTTGAATGTAATGACATAGTATATGGATGTAGGACTAGCCTAAGTTCTGCCAAGTTTGTCAAACCTTGTGAAATATCATTGAAACTGGAGCCAAAAATATGATTAACAGTGAGGTTACCCATCTAATGATACAGTGCATTCTGATAGGTATTGCTTTTATTATTTCTTTAAGACCAAAGAGAAAGTTATCCAGCTTCAAGATCAGCAAACCAAAATGCAAGAAGCATTAGAGCAGTTTGATTCTGCTGTCAGTACTGATAACTTGGCTGACATCATTGAATCCTCATTACAGACGTTTACTCCAACCAGCTTTGAATCAGAATATCAGAAGTTGTCAAACACAGTTAGTAACATTGTTTTCTAGTTAGATTTTTCTTTTGTATACCTACCTGTAACATTTTATTTTCTAACATGAATTATTATGATTGTGATTTTTTGGTGTTTATTCAGCATAATTGGAGATGAAATACTAAAATACTGTATGTAATATTTAAGATTGTTGGAATGCTGGAAAATAATGTAATGATTTAATATTACATCTTTATAAATAGAGATTGATTATATTATATTAAAACAATTTTGATGACTGTATGTTTTGATGATAGCTCTGCAGGGTAGTTTCCATTACAAAAGACTGTCATGTCCAAAGCACACCACTTGTCTCTGTGACCTTTCCATAATTCTTTTAAGGAATGAGTACAGTGGTTTCTCAGCACTCGTTGAAACAGTTCAGTTGCACAGAAATCAATATGAGCAGTGTATAGCAAGTTGACTAATATATTTTTATATAAAATTGCATAAATACTCATTTTGTTCTCCAGCTGCTTGAGGTATGTGATAGTTGAATGGAATGTTGTAGAAACAAATTCTATATACACAACTTATTTTACTTTTCCAGACATAGATAATTCTTGATTATGTTGCTTACTGTTGCCTGAAACTTACTGTTGGCTTCTGCCATTGGACTTTGTGTTTGTAGAATCTCGCCTATTACAAGATGCCGAGATTTTTTAACTATGGCTGAGGTACAACTTGTTAAAGGTCTCTTTATAAATAGTCCTTCTGCCCCAAGTTTATCCATATTCTTTTATTTCACAATACAGTTAAGCATAAGGGATACCTCCATCTTGGAAGTTCTTGGTTTGAACATATCATTATGACCTTAGTGTGCGAATATTTTACATCAGAAATGGCTGTTAAATACTCTTCCTAAAAGTGATAAATTTTTGGTGGTATCACACTTCTCATGAAGCACCAAATAATTTCAAAATATGAAACATAAATGAGGATATTTTTCCACACTCCTCTTAACTTTTCCAATTCGGATTTCAAATCAGTGATGTATAAAAATAATATTTCAGGCCTATCTTTTTGTTTCCCACAGTTCACTGCTGAAAAGACTTTTCATTCAATACCAGAACTTGTCTGTTGGGCTAGATGTTCGGAGAAAAAATAGATGTCAAATGCTGTTAATATATGCAGTATAAGACTAAAAGCTATGCTTTAAATTCCAAAAGAAAGCAGAGCATTAGAAACCAATACATCTAACAATTTTGATAAACATCATGTAAGCTGAAGACATTTATCCACATTCCATGCCAAACTTCTCTTTCCAATGAACATTTAAAACGTAGTTATAATAAATGAAGGAAAGCATATCAGTTTTTCTATTTTTGCCAAGCTATTATGCTCAGGTTTTATCGTATAATTATTCAATAATTTTAACTTTTTTTTTTTTCATTGGAATGTTTTGCTGACAAAAATATTTGTTTAAAACTTATGGAATAGTTTGTCCTTTAAATCTTGAGATAGTTTATCTTGTATATATTTTATGTATAATAGCAACAAGTACGCTGTATTTGTACCTGACAAAATATTTTATGTTCTTATCTGGTATATACAATTTGTGTATTTTAATTAAAATACAAATGGAGAAACTTAATAACCCAGTTGTTTACTGGTTGATGAAAGTTTTTGTTTTTCAGTCTTGTGTGTTTACTGTACCAGACTCCATCCGGAGTTTTTTTTTTTGTTGTTGTTTTCTTCCATTTTTGGTGCGTGCTTTAGGAATTTTTTTTGCACAAATAGTATAGGATATTTCTTATTTTTTGTTATCTTAACACAATCAATAAATAAATAAATCAATAATTAATAAAAAAAAATTAATAATATGAATGTAAGTATATAGGTTGATTAAAAAATTAAAACTTAAAAAAAAAAGTTTATGCTTAGTGTAAAGTGTTGCAGTATCCTAATTCCTGAAAAAATTTCCAAGATTTAAAACTTGTTTATAAGCTTCTTAAGTGCATTTGATCTCTGGTAATGTGTCCTTTGTTGTTTTTCTTACAAAGATCCAAGGAATTTTAATTAATTTTGACTGTAGATGTAGGTAAAAAATGCTCTCCTACTTTGTTTTGTAACAAACCCAGTATTTTTATATAACGTGATACTTTTTTTCTTTGTTTATAGATTTATTTCTTATTGCTGCTTTCTGTAGTAACAAAGTCATTATTTTTATACAGAAATTATAATATTTATTTTAACATTGTAGGATGATCCATTTAAAGCTAAGGACCCTTTCAGTGAGGTCAATGGATTTACTGATCAAGTCAATGGATATACTGATCAAGATTCAGTTAATTATGAAGATACTTTCAAAGGTGAGTGTATATTAAGATAATTTTTTTTTTCACTTTTACGTCATTCTTTGTATAGCCACAAAACATTTTAATATTTAACTTATTTCTCCATATTTTGTACTTGTAGACAATAAACGTTTTCTTTTTATATGCACATTTAAATTTCTTTGTTTTCTCTGTGTGTGGATCTTGTACATGGATAGGTAACAAATGAATGAATCAGGGATACTGAGTATTCTAAGGATAAACCTAGCACACATTTGTCTGATTTTTACAAGAACTAGAGATTCATAGGTTAGTGTACAGAAAGATGGGTACAGTGATTTGTGTATGGAAAGAAAGAAGATTTGATGTGAATTTTAACAAAAATATACTCTATTCTCTGCAGGTAAAAATTTCCCTGGTGGTGGGGTATTGCACTGTAGATACGGAAACTTTAAATAAGTAAAGATGAAAATTAAAGAAAGCCTTGAATATAAATTGAAATTGCTCAGTTATCTTATCGAAAGCACAAGTAAGAGTATTGTATTATATAAAAAAAAATGTTTCTTTATTCAATTTTCTCCAGTGAAAAACAGATGTTGATAATGTATCAGGATAACAGTAATAAAATTCAGAACCTTCACCTAGTTCATTAAAGTGTATAAAAATTTAGAGAAATCAGTGACTTGTACAATGTATAACCTTAATTAAATCATAGCAGAGAAAAATATGATGAACAAAAAATTATATTTATGGGGTGTAGCTTTTCAGAGACATAATTGCATGTCATGACGTACAAGGAACGCTTCGATATTTTATTCTGTTTGAAATGTTGCCACATTTTTTGTGTATGAAAAAATGCTTGTTATAGTGTTTAGGTTGTATTTTTCTCATCGTTGTTGTCTGTGTATGAAAATCTACTCCCTACTTTCTCATTCAGGAGATCCTCTTAAATGTGATGGAACAACAAGTAAAGGATTTGCAGATCCATTTGGCTGGGATCCATTTAATGATGGACTTAAAAATCACCCACCTGAGCAGAAACAAAATCCTTCTGATCAAGAACAAAAAGTAAATGTGGTAATTATTAATACCTAATTTACACTGTATTTGTAGTTTATACAAACTATTAAGAGAACATTTTCTATTGCATTAAAGGCTATATCAAACCAGAATAGAAATACAGTTATAAAACATGCTGTTTTAACATTAGTTGTATTGTGTGCTACTTATCAAAACATCAGAGGCCATCCTGTAGTTAGGGACAAAATGTTTATGTTAACAGTACATTGTTTATAGCATAAAGTATTGAGTGTTATTTGTAATTGCCTTTATACTAAAGTACTTAAGTAATTTTAGTTGTATTATATTTGCATTCATATACTACAATACTTTATGCTACTAGGTTGATCCTTTTCAAAGTACTGATCCATTTGGTAGTTTTCCAGCAACTTCTTCTGTGTCTGGTAAGATGTTTACATATTTTTGTTGTGTGTAGATTTTAAATATACTTAATGTTCGTTGTCAAAATATGCCCTAAAAATTAGTTTTGATTGTAAATAAATAAACAATAAGGTATAGTTTCTGATTGACAAGTTTCATGAGCTGCTTTATTAAGCAAAACCTTTTCATAAGGAATATCAGCTCTACATTTTTTTAACCATTTATTTTTATTCTGCTAATCATGACCACTAATTCTGTTTTCTATGCATAATCCTTATGTACTTTGCCTTTTCTTGGATATCAGACTTTCATCTTGTAGGGTAAACTACTGGTAGACAGTATTTAGAGCAATCCAGTTTTTTTTAGAGAAAGCAACCAGAAAATATTAAGTTATTCACACTAAACTTTTCAAGAGCAGAACTAAGAAGTTCGTATGCTTTAACTTCTGCACTGCAGATTTATCAAGTATGTTTGTTATCATTTAATTAAGTTCATCTGCACTGTTTATCTCTATTGTTAATGGCTTTTCGTGTGTAAACATTTTACACATACGGGCAACGTTGTTAACCCTCTGTAATATCCAGATCATACTTTTGAAGACTAAATGAAAGACCTTTTGCCGTAGATAATTAACTGTTGATGGTTTCGATGCGTCATATACATACAATGGTGCACATATTCGGAATCACTATGATTTTAATCATTATCAAAAGTTCAAGACATATATATGATATGTACATGTTAGTATATAACATATAAACTTTATACCTGTAGTGCAACAATGCAACTTCACTACAACAGTAAGTTTGTAAAGTGTGTGTTAGGTATGTCTGTGAGTCTAAGTCTAGTGTCTATATCCTCTTACGAATGTCTCAACATAAATATGGCAGACATTTTTCTTTCAATTTCAGTCCTAGTTATATTTTTGTAAGCTTTTGTTGCTGATAGCAAGTATTGTTCTACACCCTGTAATTACTTCATAAAGTTTTGTTCTCATATTAGAAATAGAAAACCTTTGATGTTAAATTAATACAGTCCTGCAAGCAAACAAATGAAATTATCCCAGCTGCTACTATATAACAATCTAATTTATATTGTTCAGCCTTTCTCATTCAAAGGAGGAAATACTCCTCGATGTATCAGTGCAATGCAGCAGGTAACAAGCCTACATTACACAAGTTTTGGAATCCAAAGCTCAATTGCATTAAAACAAATTATAAATTTGCAGATACAAAACAATTATCAAAATTATTTGTGTCTTCACACTTGGTAAGAGGTAATTTCGTTCTCCAAAATTTAGCATAAAAATACATCTTGAAGCATCCAGATATTTATGAGGGAGGATATGGAGTTCCCTTGTGTGTCATCCAACTTTGTGCTTATGTGCACAGACAGAAACTAAAGAGTTGCTTGCTACACCCCTGTTATGCTTCACATATACTCAGCACAGCACACTTGTCTAATGTTGCCTGTCTAATGTTTTTACTTTTATTGCTCTGAGCAACAAGAGATGCATACTAGCATGTTCTGGCATTTCCATTTTACTTAAGTTAATGAAGTTTTCATTTTCTGTAGTGTTGTGTATGTCAAGCTCCTTTGGTTTTACAGTAGTATTTGGTTTTATTATTCCAATTTGATTTTTACTCAAACTATTTTAGAATTGCTTTGTAACAACATCATCCAGTATCTATTATTTACCTACCGTTTATATACGTAATACAAGGGATTTCAATTTAAAATCAGTTATAAAGTACCGTGTTAATTTGATGATATTATTTCAATTTGATTTTTACTCAACATTTTGTAGAATTTCTTTATAACAACATCATCCAGTATCTATTATTTACCTTCCGTTTATATACATATATAATACAAGGGATTGCAATTTAAAATCAGTTACAAAGTAGCATGTTAATTTTAAGAGGCAACTGACAGGTAAAGAGTAGAGAGAGTCCCCAAGGCATGTCAATAGTGAAGTATTTGTTTGAATCATAATTCCAATAGTTTTCACTTAAATACTATACGAATGTTTTTTCTTTGTCATTTTATTTCTGAGGAGGGTGTTTGATCTATCAATCTTAATATTTTGTAATAATTTTGGTACATATTATAAATTAGAATTATATCATATATAACGCTAATTAAGTTCTTGTTTGGTGGGTCAAAATACTTCTGGGATCCATGGATATGCTAAAACACCAACAACAAAAATTGTTCATAAAATTTAATTAGTAATAGGTGGTAATAAACATAACTGACATGTAATTAATATTTCCTGTAATCATAAGTACCTATATTTCTGTAATGAAGGCTGGAAAATTATGAAATGTATGCCTTTTTCTGTTCACCATATTTGTAATCGTTATCAAAACAAAAATTCATATTGTACGCTGCAGGAATTAATAAGTGCTCTTGTGAATCTGGTATTGGAAGTGCTGTAAATAACTTTGGGTGTCAAATTCTTTTGTTTCAGATGTATTAAAAGATGTTTTAGGAATAGATTGGAAAGGGAATTTTAAAATATTTTCTTAAACCTCTTAATTTGTAGCCAGTGTCTGCATTAATAATAGTTGGGTAAAAGTTTATAGTAATGGCCATTTATTGAAACAACTACATTTAAGTATACAAATAATTATAAGTGTAATTGGTAATTTTTGAAAACTTTGGATTGATGGTGTTAAAGTTTCAGAATGATTTAGCAAAATCAGCTTTTAATCTTATGATATTATGACAGAATACTGTAATAAGAATTCCCATAACTTTTATATAAATTATACAGAGGGAGGTGAAAGGTAATTGCCTATCTTTACATGACATAGCTTATCAATTTGTCAATTGTTTTCCTGTTTTTACTTTCCTAACAGTGTAAGCTAAATAACCCATTCTCAGTACAATACATGTCTTTTGATAAAATAGATTTAAGTAAGTATTCAGTAAGGTTTTAATTTATTTTTATGGGGAACTAGCTTTTTTTTACCCTATAAATAATAAAAACTGTGAATCTCACATATAAAGGCTTTTATATGTATGCATATGACTTTAAACCTCAAATATTAGTTTTATTTAGTAGAACTACATCTGTAGTTTTATTTTCTTTTTTTCCATAAATAACCTTTCATCTGAACTGATAATTAATAATTAATTTAATAATGAAAAACTTTTGTAAGTAGAACAGTTTCTTAAAAGGAATAAAATGCAAGTAGCATAGTTTCTCACCAGAGATACATTATAAGTAGGGTAATTTCTTGCAAAAAGTGCTGAATAAGTGGGATAGTTTCTTACCAGAAGTATAAGT